GAGATGTAGGATTAAATACGCTAATTAAGATCGGTTTACTTGAGATTGGAGATGTAGGATTAAATACGCTAATTAAGATCGGTTTACTTGAGATTGGAGATGTAGGATTAAATACGCTAATTAAGATCGGTTTACTTGAGATTAGAGATGATGGATTAAACACAGATGAACATGGGAAATGTCCGATTCACTATGTATATTATACACTGTTCACTACGTTCGAGAAACTCCTGTACCTTTAACGCTAATAAACAGTTGTTTGATAAATACATATTTGAACGGCTTATTATTTGTTTGGTAATCTTTATCATAAATATAATAGTGTATAAGTCAGCTTGACTGTACGTCCTAGCCAGCTGTACGATAAGAAACCAGCAATATAACATGGTAGGAAACCTCGCCTCAAAGTCTTCAAATAGGTAGTTTTGAAGCAAAATGTTGTGCTAAGATTATTGTTGAAACATATATTAAAACATTTATAGACTTTTGTGATGGTAACTACGACCCTGAAAAAGTAATGTAAACATCGGTTAATATCCCTTTTGGCAGGTTAATATCAGATGATAATCACCATTAAAAGTCAATAATTGTATGATGAAAAATGTACATGTATTTGCAAATAATACAATATCGATCATTGAAACATAATCAGGATGACTACACAGGTTATTAAAAATTTGTACTTTGTCAATATAACATTGTTCAAAGATATTATGAATTCATCAATGCAAATCTGTGACGGAAACTATTCCAAAATGGAACGCATATTAAACCTTATTTTAATCTTAATTTCATTCTTTACCGTTTCGCAGATACGCTCTGATAGCAGAATATATGTCTTGTTACATTTGACGTACCGAATGAGGGTACCCCGGTTGTCCGTAAGCTGCAGGTGGGGCCCCCGGACCTACTCCCGGGTAGCCAGCGCCCCCTGCTGGAGGAAACCCTTGACCAGCTGGAGGTGGATAACCGCCGCCTCCCGGTGGAGGGTAACCAGCGCCACCAGGAGGGTATCCCTGGCCACCTGGTGGAGGGTATCCCCCAGGGCCACCTGGTGGGGGATAGCCGCCTGGTCCTCCGTAGTTCTGCATATTGTCTACAATGGTTCATGTGTTCATTATATCAATAAAATATATATTTCTCATTCTGTTGGATAAACACAAAACTAAATCAATACATATATATAGTATTAGTTTTGATTCGTCGCTGTATTGAAAAGAAAGCATTAGTACTCGCACTGTGTGACGCTCTGTTCACCTGAACCACACTTGGCTCTTAATAAGTATTAAGCACGGGTTCTAGATTCGCGTACGGGTACAATACCTGTTTTATTAGCATGCATTCACATTTCTCTATTACGTTTAAAAGGAATGGAAGTGGGCATATATATAAAGGAAGACTTAAGTACTGATCGACTGTCTACAACACTACGCGTAATTCACAGTATACACATATGTATTTACCTAATATATGGAAGTCTATGTAATAATACATGTATGTGTGTGTGTGTGTGTGTGTGTGTGTGAGAGAGAGAGAGAGAGAGAGTGACGGTGTATGGATTGTGCTAGATATATGCTCATGGAATTAAATGTTGTATGTATGCACGTGTGTGTAATAAATAATTAGTTTTGTTTAAACAGTTTTATTGCCAAGCAAAGGAGTTATGCCTTATCTTAACACAAACAGACAAGATATGAAAATATCAGAATCCGGTCACTCATTATATCTCTGAATATCGCAGATAGATGATAAGTGTAAATGAACCACTACGATTAGTCTGTATCATAATATTAGTGTCGTGAAGCTAAAACACCTGGACAGGTGCCCATGTTTCTATTGATTCATACAGCGTATTACCACGTGTTCTGTACAAATAGAAACTCTTTCACTTAAATAGTATAGAAGTATTTCCAGGGATACTAATGTGCTTAAATAGGGCGCAACTACAAATAATTACCAAACATAAATGATGAGTATTAATAACAACATGTAATTTGCAAGAAACGCTTTCTCGTATCTATACAGATTTGAATAGACGAATACCATTAGTTAAGCTTTCATAGTTCAGATATCCTACAGATATAACATTTATTTTACATGTAGTATTTGCTAAGATACAAATGTACTTACGTTGGTGCAAAACGTCGGCTTGACCCGGAAGTAAAGGGAGAGAAAGTTTTTCAGTGGTATTGTTTACCTTCACTACGGCCTTACTTACCAACACGACTTAGTACCTCGTGCAGGATATTTGAACAGAATTAAGTACACAAAGACCAGATCGTCTCAGTCTATATTATACGGTGTACGGTGTACCTCGCGGGCTTATGTCATTGTGGGACGACTTTTATCATGTGTATAGGAAATCAATGTTAAAGGCAAATTTGAAATTCTTTTTAACCTGAAGGTTTTGTTTTATTCACTATGTTCGTTTTCGCTACAAGTATATTATAGTTCGCCAGACAACAGTCAATACATACTTCAGATATGATTGCGTAGCGTCCGCCGTTTATTCAAATGACTCCTGAATAAGCCAGTCTAGACCTAAGAGTCATGATATTTTGCAGTGAGCATGCTGATATGAACGGCTGTAGAGTCTCTGGAAATCGTCAGGTAATTGAATAGACACATTGTCATCTTTAACAAAGACATTGAGGCCGTCCATACATCTTGCAGTGAGATTTTTTTAATTGGAAGAAATGCTGGAATGGAGCAGACATTCTTTTGATATATATAGTGTTCTTGGTATTAATCAAGGGTCGAAGTGTAGAAGTTGAAATACCTCGTGAGAGTTTTGGATACACTCTCTCGATATTCAGTTTAATGGAAAAACAACAATTAGCGCCCCCATAATTGTGCATCAAACAGAACCTATTAATTTGGATGTCCAAAAATGATAAGCTATCAACATGAAAACATATAAAAGAAGGATCTAAGAATGAATGTTGGAGAGTCTGAGTGCTGCAACCCCTATATGTTATCCTAGCCGAGAGTTGAGAGCCCTTATATTAGTCAATATCACACATGAGTGATTGATTGTCCTTATATGTATTCATTAATCAAATTCACACCAAAATCGTCATTGGCGCATAAGTAGTGTAAAAAAATTGATGGCGCGATCAAATTGTGATGTGGTTACATTGCAAACCGTTGATCAGCAGTCTTCCGCCATCCGCCAGGTACAATGTAATGACTTGAAATAGACAAAAAATTCTCATTGATGCAAAGCCTCTAGGTGAGCAAAAGTATCGATCTTAATAAATTGATTATTGTAGCAAACTTAATTGTCTTTTAATCCGATAAAAGACTGCCATCAGCCTTTAACATCGTTCCTTACATTTGGTTTATTTTCAATTAATAGATTTAATTTCATATGCAATTATATACTGTATTAATCCCTTCTTTCCGACTCGGCCCCTCCCTATGCCTAGGGAACTTGACTCGGGGAATACAAAATACCAAATACAGTTCTGTGGTCATATGATATTTCAAAAGAAGTATTTTAAAAGTTTACCTCTATATTTTCAGTTAGTCCATTCTCTGCCACGTTATAGTGATAGAGGAATAGGGTGTCAAATCGTTTCCAATCGGTCAAAATCTTGCATTAAATAAACTAACAATTTGCGAGTCAATGATGTTTCATGACCCCAATTCTGATTCTGATGGTTGAGATGTTTCAACGTCCTAAGTAATGTTGTTAGGCGAATGCAAATAGCCATCATGTGTGTGACAAATTAATGAAGCGATCCAGTCACGATGTGATTACACAGACAAAGGAACGAAAGCAATAAGAGTCATGAAGCATTTATTTTGTATAATCAACATTTTATACCAACGCAATGTAAAATTACTCGCTTGTTAATCTTAAGGTTCCATAAGTAATTGTTATTACGAAAATTCATATGCAAAGAGTGAATGTTCTATTCAAGACAAATCCTTATTTTACAGGTTTTTGTATTTTTCTGTTGCCAAAATCAGCTGGTGAAGAATACCAGGCTCCTTGGTAGTATGTCCCGCGTCAGGTACCACATGAAATTCAGAGCCAGGCCAGCTCTGTTCAACAGAAAAAGAGGAATCCATACAAACATGGCAACATACAAAAACACCTTTATTCGAGATCAATAATTTAGTATATAAATGATGAGATGTTGAAAACAACTTCGGTTACTCATCTCATTTTTTCATATTATTTAGATTGATTACTGATAAACAAACTATGAATATAGGCATCCTTTTGTCTATCCACCACCAAATATAGAAACAGCAAAACGATTCAGCTCAATCTTTGCCATCGTCTTTATCAAAGAATACATTTGTCATTTTCTGTCTGCATAAAAAACCATTTGCAACTATGGCTGATTAGTTTGAGTCTCGTATGAAGTAAACAATCCCTGACGAGTTTGTTTTATTCTGATTTCTGCAGAGGCATAGGAAATTTGCATAACATGTATATACATGCATGGTATGTCCATATTTGAGTCCTATTGTCGAGACTTTAGAGTTATTTACCTCGAACATGTTTATATCCACCAGAGGATAAAGCATATTTAAATATGTATTAAAACAGGAAATCAGGTCCTGGTCATCATCATTGGAAGATAGATGCTGAGCCACCGAGGACATGTATCTAATACTATAACGGTTAAACACCATCCAAGTACAAACTTAATGTTATACATACTCTATGGACCGACCAGGCAGTTTCCATTGGACAAACGACATCATAACGTCCATGAATAATTGTTCCTGGAATGTGTCGAATTTTTTCCACGTCTTTCAAAAGTTGATCATCAGTCTTCAACCATCCCCCATAAACAAAGTAGTGACTAAACCAGAAAAATAATGTCCATAAATACAAAACGAAAGGATGTAAATCCATAAATTGTTATAGCAAACGTAAATCCAACTAAATCATCTTTAGATGTCTGACCTATCTTTTACGTACATCCTTTATGAAACGTTGAATCCTTAAACATTTAAAGACTAGCCTGTCAAATTATAACCTTACTCTCCAAGACTTGCCTGTCAATTGATTACCTTACACTCCACGACTAGCCTGTCAAATTATTACCTTATACTACAAGACTGGCCTGTCAAATTATTACCGTACACTCCAAGACTAGCCTGTCAAATCATTACCTTACACTCCACGACTAGCTTGTCAACTTATTACCTTACACTCCACGGCTAGCCTGCCAAATTATTACCTTACACTCCAAGATTAGTCTGTCAAATTATTACCTTACACTCCAAGACTAGCCTGTCAAATTATTACCTAACACTACAAGACTGGCCTGTCAAATTATTAACGTACACTCCAAGACTAGCCTGTCAAATTATTACCTTACACTCCACGACAAGCATGTCAAATTATTACCTTACACTTCACGACTAGCCTGTCAAATTATTACCTTACACTCCACGACTAGCCTGTCAAATTATTACCTTACACTACAAGTCTAGTCTGTCAAATTATTACCTTACACTCCAAGACTAGCCTGTCAAATTATTACCTTACACTTCACGACTTGCCTGTCAAATTATTACCTTACACTCCACGACTAGCCTGTCAAATCACAACCTCACACCCCACGACTAGCCTGTCAACTTATTACCTTCCTCTCCAAGTCTAGCCTGTCAAATTATTACCTTACACTCCACGAGTAGCCTGTCAAATTATTACCTTACACTACAAGACTGGCCTGTCAAATTATTCTGTACACTCCAAGACTAGCCTGTCAAATCATTACCTTACACTCCACGACTAGCCTGCCAAATTATTACCTTACACTCCAAGACTAGCCTGTCAAATAATTACCTCACACTCCACGACTAGCCTGTCAAATTATTACCTTACACTCCACGACTAGCCTGTCAAATTATTACCTCACACCCCACGACTAGCCTGTCAACGTATTACCTTACACTCCACGACTAGCCTGTCAATGTATTACCTTACACTCCACGACTAGCCTGTCAAATTATTACCTTACACCCCACGACTAGCCTGTCAAATTATTACAAATTACAGTAACATTGCCACTACCTTACTAATACACTGAATTTGTTTTTCAATTTATTCCTTCGCAGAAGTGTATCCCATTGTATGCATTTGCCTGCTTTATGTGACTTCTACTTCTGAGTGGATCAGACCTTTTATTAATACCAAATACAGTCCTCCTCATACAGAGATGTTTTTTCTCTACCAAATTTGGATATTTTTTTCCATCTCATATTTAGTAGTCCCTTATTTGTCCAGTCTCTATAACCTATCCATACAAGGGACACCGGAAATTATAACAAAAAAAGATTCTTTAGCCATTCAAGACACGACATCTTTCCAATTAAACGATGTTTGACGTAAAATGATTGATACCATGACACATAATTAGATAACAGGGTTTTTCGCCAGGTATATATTTCACACAAGCCAGGTTAGCCAATGAAATACCGTACACACGTAAACATGCAGTGTATTTTATTTGGAATACGGAGCAAAATAAAACTAGCTTGCTAAGTAGGTTTTCCCACACAAATGTTTCACGAAAGTTTTAGCCAAGGTAAAATAGATCCGAGTTCAAGCTGAGACGTCAGATGAACATATACGTGTCGAATTGCTTTTATTATATACATGTATCTCAAATGAATTATTCTTTAAGTGAATAACATGATATTTTCCCATTGTTTACAATAATTATTTTTATTAATGTACAATTAGCTTCTTGAAAACTTGATCTGAACAACGAAGGTAGACAATACGACATTCCTGAAATGACAATAGCTATTGATAGGACTTCAAACCCTGTACAAACAAACGACATAGAGAAGTCGGAATAATGATGTTACGCTATCATCGTGTGAAATGGTGCTTAAAGGTTCGGAGCCAATTCCTGTTACGATGTAACAAGCAATGAGTTCCAATCCAGTCATTGTTACTTGCTAGAGTATCAACGTAGGTACAGATAAAAAATAAAAATGGTTTTCTTTCTCAAACATCTTGATTATGTATCTGTAAAATATTTGATGTTTTCGCCATATAAAGATACAACATATATATAATACAATGGACGACGGGAATGAAAGAAGCACTGGGAACTACGGTATTAAAAAATAGAAAATCCTTAATACTATATGTCTTACGTCTCAATCCTGGCGCCGCGCTCTGGCCATTCTTCTTTCTCTGTACTTTTAACCAGTTCCTCATCAACTAGTAAGTTGCACGTGGCTAACTTCCATTTATTCCATGCTCTGGCTGCTCTGATACACTTTTCCTTGTCGTCACCCGTCAGATATCTATAGTACGCACTCATTAAGTCTCCTCTTTCTCCCTGATCAAATAGAGAACTCTTAAACTTGTACATTTTACCAAAGTTAAATTCAAATGTTCCATATGCTTACATTTGTACCTGTAATTGTGAAAATTCACAAAAATAGGAGATCATGTATTTTTTCTTTTCGTTATGTTTTATCAGTCAAATGACGATACAGTAGTTTTTATGTTGCCGAAACCATTTCAAAATCCATATGTCGTCACCATACAATAACTAAGCTAGGTAAATTTACTAAGACACTTGTAATTCAACTGCTTTGTCCACTGTGCATCACTCAGTTCCCTAATAGATTAAGCGGCATATTGAGTCTTTTACATTGTGCACATGATATTACAACAAGTTCCCTGTGAAACAAAGTATCAAAGAAACCTACACATGTATCTGAAGAGAAAAAGTGTTTTAATAAAAGGGGACATTAACAGAAAATTTACATTTAGTGATAATTGCTACACAGCAAACCCCTTTAAGGACGCTTGTATAACCAAAATCTTAAAAATATTGATCTGGTAGAATTGCGAATAGGCCTTAAATATTTAAGTCAATCAGAAGACAGGGTAGCCATAGTTTTCATTTCTAACAAGTCAAAAGATAACTTACTTCTTCAAAACAATCTCAAAATACTTTATTTAATTTTGGCAATGGCAAGAACACTCTGAACACTTTTATCGAAATTGATTTGGTGGAATAGACATTTATTAATAAAAAAATCAGTCACTCAGCTGACTTTATTTTGTGAATACAAACGATAACAACATTTCGTCAGGATGATCAGAGCAATATCAGGATCACGTTTGATTACTGTTATTACCTAGTTTACTAATTGGATAATGCCTCAAATATTAGCCTGGAAATATAATTGTACATAATACAGTGTACAATGTACTGCTATACATAGCCTGGAAATATAATGGTATATAATACAGTGTACAATTTACTGCTATATATAGCCTGGAAATATAATGGTACATAATACAGTGCACAATGTACTGCTATATATAGCCTGGAAATATAAAAGTACATAATACAGTGTACAATGTACTGCTATACATAGCCTGGAAATATAATGGTATATAATACAGTGTACAATGTACTGCTATACATAGCCTGGAAATATAATGGTATATAATACAGTGTACAATGTACTGCTATACATAGCCTGGAAATATAATGGTATATAATACAGTGTACAATGTACTGCTATACATAGCCTGGAAATATAATGGTATATAATACAGTGTACAATGTACTGCTATACATAGCCTGGAAATATAATGGTATATAATACAGTGTACAATGTACTGCTATACATAGCCTGGAAATATAATGGTATATAATACAGTGTACAATGTACTGCTATACATAGCCTGGAAATATAATGGTATATAATACAGTGTACAATGTACTGCTATACATAGCCTGGAAATATAATGGTATATAATACAGTGTACAATGTACTGCTATACATAGCCTGGAAATATAATGGTATATAATACAGTGTACAATTTACTGCTATACATAGCCTGGAAATATAATGGTACATAATACAGTGCACAATGTACTGCTATATATAGCCTGGAAATATAAAAGTACATAATACAGTGTACAATGTACTGCTATACATAGCCTGGAAATATAATGGTATATAATACAGTGTACAATGTACTGCTATACATAGCCTGGAAATATAATGGTATATAATACAGTGTACAATGTACTGCTATACATAGCCTGGAAATATAATGGTATATAATACAGTGTACAATGTACTGCTATACATAGCCTGGAAATATAATGGTATATAATACAGTGTACAATGTACTGCTATACATAGCCTGGAAATATAATGGTATATAATACAGTGTACAATGTACTGCTATATAATCGGGAATTTTCTCCCGTGTCGTGTCTCTAACTTAGGAGACATTGAAGAACCAACTATTGGTATGATGTCTCCATTGCATCATTTAAGCTTATGGAATACTTTCTCACTCTTTTACTCTCTCTTTTGGTGGTATTTACCTCGGCACAGCTCATGAAATCGATATTTTGTTTATTGGGTAACTTAAAAGTAAATCAAATGCATATTCTCTCACCTCTGGTATAGGGGCCAAGTACGCCTCCCATACGTCAGGAAAAAGATGGCTGGCCCCGTCCTGGTTAGACCAAAGCGTTTCCCTCCTTCAGTACAAATAGGTTAAAGATATGTTATATGATATAAAGAATAATAATCAAAGTGTTAATATTATAACACGGTTATAATTATTTTGATGGCCCTATAGGGTAACAACATTTTGCGCATTTTCACGAATAGACTTCATTATTTGTTGGGGGGAAAATTGAAAGACGTTAACGTTTGCTTGAAACTCACTGCCGTTCCGTAAAACATGACTTCATTTTGCTTTTTATGATAAACAGAAGCTGAACCAAAAGTAATATGTTCATAGTGCCTGTACATCTCAGTCTGAGATCAAACAAAGGTGAACAATTTATCTTATTTATAAACCAAACAACGGGGTATATATATACATATAAGATTACCTGGTTAAGCCAAAAATCCCTCTTAGGATGAGAGCTTTTACACGACCCGGATGTGATTCGGCGTAAGCTAGAGAAAGTGTTGCACCCCAGCTTCCCCCGAATACCACCCACTTGTCGATCCCCAGGTGTTTCCGCAGACGCTCAATATCCTCTACCAGGTCCCAGGTTGTGTTTTCCTGTAAAATTGTAATAGCACTGAAATATCCAACGAGAGCATATGATTTATCTCTGCCAAAGAATGAAAGCATGTCAAATTGGTCTAAAAAAAATGACATTGCAACAAAATCACACAAGAATCATTCACATCTTTTTATATTCTTTGATTTTTAAAATGTTCATGCAATGTTATTGACAGAAGGTATGCTCATCTCATTATCTTGAAGCGTTCATCAAACAGGTAATGTTTTATATTATTTCTTGACAGCTCCTTTCTAACGTATGCTTTTGACAATAGGACTAAGGGCCTGGGAAGGTCATCTACTTATTTTTTTGACAATAGGACTAAGGGCCTGGGAAGGTCATCTACTTATTTTTTGACAATAGGACTAAGAGCATGGGAAGGTCATCTACTCATTTTTTTGACAATAGGACTAAGGGCCTGGGAAGGTCATCTACTTATTTTTTTGACAATAGGACTAAGGGCCTGGGAAGGTAATCTACTAATATTTTGGCATTGAACCGTTCTTGGTATCAAAACACAAAAAAAAGGATGTGACAACTCGAGCGACCACATGTAAGTGCACATCAACCTTTTGGAAGACTGCATATTGAATTCCTAACATAATTTGATTGATCGAAAACTGCTAATTAGACTGCAGCTGATAAATAGGAGAATGTAGTATGAGGCAGGTAAAATACATAACATGTGTGTGTGTAACCCCTTTGTATGACCCCATGTATGACCTGTCCCACAGCGTTGGTCCCCAGTCGAACCCGCTCTTTACTTCTACAGTTCACACCATTTAAGTATGTACATTTATATTAAATAGCTTTAATACGCTTAAAACAGATATGTATGAGTATTGTCTAGTCCTTGCATTTTAACGTCAATACAAAAAGAATAATAAGTTTACAATGAATCCTTCAGAAATAGCCAAACTTCATTCATCTTAATTACAACTAAGAAATAAGAAACAGGCTTTAGTCAAAGTGTCATAAACATATTACAGAGGGATCCTGTGTTACGACATAGGGCAACTGATAACAGCAGATTTACCTGTAAGCAGGAGGAGCACGACATTTTTCACATTACAACCTTACCAAATATCGTCAAGTAAGTTTAAATATTACAAATACGTAGTTGATTATCTTCAACATTCAGTAAAACCTCGGCATAATGCGCCTCGTTTTATTTGCTACCTTGCATACCGCCAACAAATATCAAGGACCCTCACCATTTTGCCAAACATTCTCTGGATAAGTTGTTGTATTATTATTATAAGTTGATACTGGAATATTAGGAAAAATTAAACAAAAAAAATGTTGTATGGTATTTGAAAATATTTCACAGCGATTTTCCTAGACATTTTCCCACTAGTTATATCGTTTTAAAATCAGTATCTGTACACCAACATGGCCGTTAGATTCTTGCTTTGTGAAATACCTCTAGAAGTGCTCATTTCAAATTTGGAAAAATTTCGACATTAGGCGAGAGCCTTATCGGAAGTCGACTTTGTGGCGCATATACTGTTAATTATATACATACTAGATGTATGTGCAATTGTAATCAAGAAGATATTGGTGCGGTCCTGTTCATGGTAGTATAAATCTCGGATGCTTTAAGCTTGTTTTATATACTAAATCAAGCAGTTCCGGCAACGCCATCTGTCATTCATGTTTGTCGAAAAGATACTATGCCTCCGATTGTTGTGGAGGGAGAGAGACTAGATTTAGGTATACAACTCTGGACAAGTAGTCTTGTAAGTCATAATAAATAACAGACAAGTTACGGTAGACGCACCACAGCATCAGCTCACTTTTACGTCGGATAGGTGGGTTAATAAAACGATTCTTACTTCAGAGATAGTAATTGATATGTATGTTATGGGTGAATACATGCATGTTATGTTTGCATTAACACACTATGTGCATAATTAAGTGTTACAGCCCACTCCACATGATATTATAATGTTTATAAAGGTGTCAATATGTTTACATTACCCATGGGTCAGGGGAAGATAATCAAGAACCTTGAGTGTCCCTTTTAAAGATTCTGTAGATTGTTATTGTGTAAACAGCTAACATACTGCTTTTCCTGCTGTTGCCTTCATAAACCATTAACGGTATGGGTAATCTAAATGAGATATCACATGGTTTAACAAGTCATATCAATAGGGTTGGAATCTATACCAGGGCCATGCTTTTCTGTGTGGATGCTGGAAAGGTCTGTGTTAGAATGGAATCTATACCAGGGCCATGCTTTTCTGTCTGGATGCTGGAAAGGTCTGTGTTAGAAAGATGACATCAATGTCAATGACAGCTACTTCATTTCTAAATATATTTGCATAACTCATACACTTATGTTTTGGGGTTTCAATTGAAAGGTACTGATATAACGCTATATAACGTTTTTACTGCGACTTGCAACGATTCAGTAAGATACTGCCGGAGTTACAGGACCCAATATATAATGTCTGGATATAGAAAACACTTACGCCTTTAGCAGGTAACAAACATAAACGTCTCCATATTCATTTACGACATTAACATGAACTATGTAAGCAGTAATACGTTTTATAGAACAATATAGAAAACCATTGGAAATATATTGTGCTTTGGAAGGTTTAACATTATATTATCATTGCAATGGACTTATTTGCAATTCAATTCCAATTCAATCTAAATATATCACGCACCCGCAATTCTGAAGGAGGAGTAGATTTTCCAGCTCCTCTCTGGTCAAACAGTATAATTCTGTAAGCTTCCGGATCAAAATATCGGCGGTCTCGACCTCTGGATCCTGCTCCTGGGCCTCCATGACTATAGAATCAGAAACAATGGAAACATGTAAGACATTTATCATATACCTCAAATACCTAAATATCACAGAAGTATGGATGACCGTACGTCCAAAAACGACATTGAAAAAACGATTTCGATATAAATAATGAGTAACCAACGGTAGCAAGATACATTTTACTTCTGAGTAACTAAAATACCAAGGTTCTTGTCATTTAGCCTGTATAATGCTGGAGTAAAGACTCACCATACTTGCACGGATTGATTTCCTTATATTCATATTTGAAGTTTTGGAAACTTCATAAACTTATTATGTGAAGCTTGTTGCATTAGCTTGCATTAACTAGAACCCTGTTGGATGTCGTAGATGTGAGATGTTTTTGCTAAATGCGATGCGATCTTGGGACATTTCTCTATGCCGCTAGCGGGCTTTTATCTTTGCCATGATATGCTTCTTACTTATTTATGTAAAAATCTCTCAGCCCTTCTTTAAAGAACAGTTTTCAATAGAATGGAGGTTTTCTAATTTAACAGATGAAAATGTTCAACTTGTTTCAACAAAACCTAGTTGGCCTAGCGAACTAAAGATAGTAAACAGAAAGTGTTGTTTGTGCTGAAAGTCATGATGGAATATTAAGGAAACAGAAGCATTTAAAAAACTTCCCTCCCTAATAGTTTGATCTTATTCAAATGAGTCTTTTTCTCGCTATAACAATTTTCGGTTTCTTATCTTGACACGATAACGACACTAAGCATACATATTTAAATAATGTGTAATTCGGGGCTAATCATGGGTTACCTGTCGAAATTTAAAAAACAATTCTCGTAGGTTCATGACGACAGACGACACATTTTTAAAACTAATAATCACGTGCTAATTGATAAATTTACAAATACCAGCCGGAACTTTAAACGATACATCACTTTTGCTTTGAATTGTATGTTCACTTCATCCGAATACTTTTACATCATCTGAAATTGAATAAAACAGCGCAGTCACAGGAACCGGTTACCGAGGGGGGGAAAGTGCTAATTGCTAATATTTGATTACAAATACTTGGTCAAAATCATAAATTTATCAGAAAAAAATACCATAATTTTCCAGTTTTTAAACTACCAAGTGGTCTCAGGATGACTGTGTAAACTTACAGAAATATTATCGGATTTCCATCCTTGTTCCCACTTTGTTCGTAATAGATGTCATGAATTTCTGAAACCTTGAGTTTCCCGGTTTCAAAAGGTTCGATCTCTGGAAACAAGTCCCTCCTTGCAGACATCTTTTTATTGTCTACGTCACCATACAAACCTATAAAACAGTTGTGTTATATATCACCATATGACAGAAACCTGTCCTACTTCTTTACTTGCGGTGTTGATGACCCGTTTAATCGGCCTGGCAAAGTATCCCCTTCACTCAAGTCTGTTGTCGACCAAAGTACCCTTCCTCACTGCAACCGACTAAATGTACACCATCTTAAATTGACGCTTCTAATAGAAAGTTTGAACGACAGCTTGGAATATTGTTCTTGATTCGCCAACCAGTCTGCTGTGTTAGTCCATATCATTTCATTTTCAAAACATATCATCCACGTGAGCTCCACAGCGACCAGGTCCCTGGTAAACGGGTTCACAGAGATCACGTGCATACATAATATGCAGCTAATGGTGCAACCGTCGATCGATAGTTTACCAACGTTTGTGTTGCCGTATAAAACGTCTGTTGTGTAATGTACACATGATCCTCATGACCACGAATGTAGATTACTCGCGTCAGTTTCAGTAAAATGTGTTATCAGCCGGTTGAAGTGAGGTTACGTAATACAGTCATCTTACATCTACGTGTGTTGTCAGCCTTCCCTTGAATACATGCGAGATCCTGTATTACTAGTATAGGCCTACAGGCATTACATTCCCAGAGATCAATATCGGGACAGAAATAGGTGTGTAGGTAACATCTCCATGGACTGCAACTTATTGCTAATTAACAATAAAGCTAACAAAACCAATAAACATACATGTAAAAAGATATGAATGGCTGAATGATCATCAATATCCTGTCAACGTCTACGTACTTCTGCATTCTTAGTATGAGAAATGTTTCCTTCATTAACGTGAAAATGTAGGTTGTGCAAGTGTTGAATACATTACAAACCAAATTTTGTTTGATATATTTTGTCGAAAATGTTACAATATGGTTATGATATTGACTCGTATAATTATTCTAACTGCGATGTATTCCTACGCTACATGTAGCTGTGTCTGTTCACATGCGAGGCTGTAGATCGAGTCGGACTGATTTGCATTTATTGAGCATAATTCAGCGACAGAAACAAAGTCGGGGGAGACCAACATATGTGGAATGTCGTATCACTGTCGTATCTTCCATACAGCCTGTTGGAAACTTCTACTTATGCTAGCAAACCTGACGCACGGTATCAGAAAGACGATAGTTGAAAAACCATTGAAAACAAATGCAACGAGTATAAGACCATGCGTTCCGGATGGAGTAGCGTCTTCAAACCATTATGTAAATTCGGGACAAATCCAAGTAATGCCACGTCCTCAGAAGTATGGAGGAAGTGACATCCTCGATACTCCCGGGGTAACGCTGACTTACGCTCTCCGCACCCCTAGATTGTGTTGTAGCATAACTGAAGGCACGCGGCTAGCTATTTGGTTGATCTCGCGAAAAAAAGGCCAATCGTTATCCTGAAACATGTCCTCTGAAGATTATAAGATTAACCTAAGATAAGATTATTTCTCGATCACAAACGGTATGGGTGAAATCGTTGAAGAACACTCATGGTACCTTTAAAACTGAGCGTGTTATCACCGCTATATTATTGGGTTCTGTGTAAGAGGATCAATCAAATCAGTACATTATTTTAGAATGAGTAGCTCAAACAAAGTATATCAACAAAGGGACATAACTCTATACATTTGGGAGCTAGAGTTCTCTGTTCTATATTCTCGAATACTTATGTCCCCTCATGATCAATGTTAGCATTATATGTACCAAGTATCATTGAAATTGGTGAAGTATGTGTTCTTTAATAGTGCAAACAATGCTTTTGAAGGGGTATTACTTTATCCATTTTGCATACTCTATTCACACCCCTTAATTTAAGTATTATGTGTAACAAGTATGATTAAAATTGGTGCTGTGTTTTAGAAGGAGGTACCAATCCATGTTCTTATTCATATTCATTTTGTCTACAGACAGATAGATGCATGGACAGACAACATAACCACATTATAACCCCTCCCCCATATTATACATTTAGTGGCCTTGTAGGGAAACACAACTCATAAGAACCAGGCTCGAGTGAAACATTTATGAGGGAAACACAAAGTATCATTCTTCCCTAATGCAAGAGTACTAAATAAATGTATTATATATACTAATATAGAACAATAACACAACAGTGAAGACAAATCTGGCTACCACACCATTGTTGTCTATTTCATCAGCTTGGAACTCAGATGTGGTACCTTAGCTATTTTTTCTAGAAAAGAATCCACATAAGAGAAATATGCCTGGACAAACACCTAGAATATATATATAATTATCCGTTTTTGCCTTTTCTCCTCCCCTTCTCTATTGTTGTGAAACATCCTGATCCTTTGCACATCTATATGTATCACACTGTATCACTATGTGAAGTTTTAGAAAGTTCGGCCTTTTGCTGTCCCGAGATAATCTCCGGAAACAAAAGTGCTGATGGACAGACAGACATGCACACACTGTGATTACTATAGGGCACAAATGAATGAGATTTGTAGAATTTCATATTATTTATTGTTTGTCAAAAGCATAAAAAAAAACATCAACACACTCTGTTAATGCAAACTTGAGTCCCCTTTTCCCAAAGTCCCCTAGAACAAATTTGGTTCATATCCCTTAATTTGTACAAAATTCCTTTTTTTCTCTATTTCCCCTATTGGGGCCCCACCCCTCTGACCATACGAGCCATATTTACACAAATACTATCACTCAATGCTGAACCAGACTTAAGCGGAGCAACATCTTGAGATAAAGTTAAACTTTAGATACAATCAAATCTTCACACCTGCCAAAGTTTGCAGCAAATTGCAAAACTCATCATAATAAATTGTAATGTTTAAATGTGCTTGAAATATCATACCAGCGTGCATTTGAACATTTCGCCAACACCAGTCACAGAAAAGGAATGTTTAAAAGCTTATTGTATATTACAAATGTGTGTCTTGTTGTGACAGGTAAAAATTATATATTTTAGGGAGGAATTAATAACAATTTATGAATATTTTCAAATGAATTGTAACTGTCATTGTACAAAACCAGAAAACTAATAATATAACATGTAAGATCTATATATATAAATTAAAAAAAAATGAGTCTTGTTGGTACAGGTAAAATCACTGAATTAATGCAATCTTATAACTAAAGCCCAAAGTTAAATGATGTTATTTTAGATAGGAATAATTTACAGTGTACATGTATATAATAAACCATAACTGTAGAGTTTAAAACCAAATATGCCTAAAAGCATCATTTCCCTATGTAAACTATAATAAACTATACCCCCTCCCAAAGGATGACCTGATGACTAAGGGGCAATTTTGATAAAACACATAGGGACCTTTCTGTCCATGAACAACACCGGAATCTGAGGAAGATTTTTGAAATATTCCTCAATTTTCCCTTTGAAGCCATATATACATGTATCTTAACCCCCGGGGTAGCGGCAGGAATCCCAAATTTAAAATCTGATACATGTACCCTCTTTCACAAAGAAAGATTCTTATAAAGTCTGAAAAGAAAAGCATACCTTGTGGGACTTAAATGAAAACATTATAATAAAAATGAAATTAACAAAATATGATAAAAAGCAGTTTTCTAAGTGTAAAATTCTGCAGGCCTAGTCCAGGAGTTGAACCCTGGACTTCAGATTACACTATATATATAGCAGACTGGGGGCTGATTGAGCTGCATGATCATTGCCATTGGAACTGTCCTGGCCCAAATGTGCTAAAGGTATATGTATCCAAAACAAAATTAAGGGGAGGTTAATGTGTATCAATTATAATTACCAATACTTTAGCTACAGTTATATAAACCCAAAACAAAATTAAGGGGAGGTTAATGTATATATAAATACCAATACTTTAGCTACAGGTATATATACCCAAAACAAAATTAAGGGGAGGTTAATGTATATATAAATACCAATACTTTAGCTACAGTTATATAAACCCAAAACAAAATTAAGGGGAGGTTAATGT